CACTCAGGATCTGACACACTCCAAAACCGGTCAACCTCTGAAATCTTAAAATCAAACACCCCACGTTTTTATAGCCTCCTGACCTTGATATTTCCTTTCTTCCCACTACTGCTTCTTAATTGCAATAAGCCATCCAAGCCTTTGACAACTGTACATATCACGTACGATAAAATCCAAGACCTGAAGGAGAACAATGAAATGGGACAGAATTCTCCCCAAAAGAGAGAATGCAAAGGTGGTATCAAACGAGTCCTGAAGAATGCCACAACAAGCCCAAACTTAGAGAAAGAGAATTACAGCAGAAGGCGGGACCCAGAAGCAGCAGGAAGCACCCAGAATTGGAGCCATTTCCACTCAGAATGGTAGAGAAGGTGAGACTGAAGAGGGATCCCTTTAATTGCCCCAGGCACCAGGTCAGCCTAGGCAGGTGGGAGAAGTAACGGACAAGGACTAGTCCCATCTGAGGGGAGCCCCTGCCAGGCAGGATCCTGCATCAAAGGGCTAAAGTGATAAAGCAATTAGCTGCCACAGCTCACCCACTGTACAAAGGCCACAGCAAGCACCAATCCATGCCCCTTCCTCCAGATACCCCCAAATCATGAGTATCTGAATTAAGATTAAGATTAGCTGGTATCCAACTTTCCTCCCTCACCCTAAGGGATAAACTGAACAATGCTTAAAAAAAAACAGAGCTTTATTGGGCAAAAGGCAGGCTCAGATAAAAACCTCACTTCCCTCACACCAAACAATCAGGTTTGGGGAGGGTCCTTTCATGAATACAGAACTGGGATAGGTGGAAGGAGGGTGTTAAAACATAATATGCAAAAGGTAGATAAAAAGAAAATGATGAACACAAACTTTTGTACGTACTTTCTAGAGAATGTGGCTTCTAAGAAGCACAAGATCAAAGAGATAAAGTCAAATGAGGTTAATATGAATCTGGTAGAACTATGAATAGAGACTATAAAGAGACCACCTTACCAAACCAAGGCCATATTAGAAGCATCAAGTCAAATCACAATGCAGAAATCCAAGTTAGTAACATTTAAAAGGAACTTGAAAGATGCTTAGAATATAATGAAAACGGACAAAGCAAATTAATAAAAATTCTGATTAAAGGTTAGCCAATGGAATTCAATAAGACATTGAAGAAAATACTAAGCCTGTGATGTTAGTTCAAGGAATGCATGAAATGGCTTGAAATTAAGAAATCTATAAATATATTTCATTATATTATTGGAATGATAAAAAATACTGTGAAAGATGTCAGCAGATACTTTTTTAAAGCCTGCATCAAACTCTAATGAAAAAAACTCCAGAATCATTCCCATTAAAGTCAGAAATATATACAAAAAAGATGATACTGTTGAATAACAATGTTCTGGAGGTCCAAGTCAAAACAATTAGACAAAATTTTTAAACAGAGGTATAAATAGTGAAAAGAAAAAAGTACCATAATTTGCACATGATATATATAGTTGGTTACATGTAAACATAAGCAGGTCAATTTAAAAACTATTAAAATATTGAATTAGTAAGGTGGCTATCAAAAATTATTCATCAAAATGAGCTTTCCTATATATAAATAACCAATTAGGACACATGAAAAGAAACACCTAATCACAACAGCGATGCAAAAATATATTTAACCTTAGCGAGGACTGGCACGCCTAAAAAGAAGACAACTCTACTACAAGATATAAAAAAGTGACTTGAACAAATGGGGAGATAGATATAGCTTATTCATGGCTACGATGACTCGGTACTATAAAGACTGAAATTCTCCCCAGACTAATTTACAAATGTAAATCCAACCATAATCGCTAATGAATTTTTCAAACTGATAAAACTATTCTAAAGTCTGTTTGATAGGATAAGCATGTAAAAATAGCCAGAATAATTTTGAAAAAGCATTTAGAGGGGGACTAGCCCTATTAAAATATTATCAAAAACTACTGTAATTAAAATAGCGGCTCTTCTTCCAAAGAACTACATAGGCAAATCAATGGAATGGAATAAAGAGCCAAATATATGTATATACAGTATTTCTGAATTTTAAAAAAAAATTAAAGAGACCATTCTAAATCAGAGGCAGAAAATCTATTATTCAATAACTGGTTTTGGAAAATTTTTATCCAAACAAACTGACATTCACACAAAAGGATGTAGATGAACCGTCATCGGCATACGAAAACCACGGGAGTGTTATTCTCACAGGCCCTTTCTGAAGAATCTAACAAATGAGCAGGACAACGAAAAAGACTGCATATACAATGACGTAAGGAATGGTGGTGAGCATTAAGCACATATTTAAATGAAGAGTTAAGACCAAAGAGTCAAGAGAGAGAGCTTATGGTATATAATGGCAATGTTCTTACAATGCAGAGGTAGCACAACTACAAAAGGTTCATTAAAATAGTAAATTTTATGTTACATATATTTTACCACAATAAAGGAAAAAAAATAAAAGTACAGCTCTTAAGTTTATATTGATACTTCCTATTCAAATTTAGAACTACAACGTTTTTCTATCCTCTGTACATTCACTTTTCCATATAGAGAATCCTGGTTCTTTCTCATTAAGGAAACTGATGATAAAGAATGTTTTTTTCCATAAGTTCATAAGAGTTAATAAAAACTAATCAATCACCTTTGGAGAATGCTAGGGAACCAACTCTATTTTGAAAACCGGTAAATAAAATGTGAAATGTATCCTATACCTTTCCTCTATGAACTATACTAAAAGGTAATGTAGATAAGGTGAGTTTCTCTTTGTAGAAATATTCTAGCTAATAAACAAAGAAGAAATGACAAGAATTAAAATTTCATCACTCTGCAACCCCAATAAATCACAGGATCTAAGAACTGAACAGCAAGGCCACTAACAACACAGAAGAGCAACTTTACGTGCTTCCTGATAGAGAAGTAAACCATCACCCATAAAACAGTGTTGCCTACACGAATCGACCTGAATCTGCTGGAGCCTTTAGATCCAATTACCAATTCTTGGGACATACAGACGTCAGAAAAACACATTCAACTATACCATGTAGATACAATCAGCAAAATCCAAACTTTGAAAAACTAAATTTCATCAACAAATATTTTACAAGGGGAAAAACGAGGAGAGCTGAGATATACATTAAGAGAAACTTAAAGACACATTAAATGAAAAACTAAACAGTACAAAATTATTAGAGGCACACTGGGTTGGAACAAAGAGATTATAATTGGGAGGAAGCCTTGAACAGCCGGATGGATGACAAGGTTCTATCTCGACCTGAGTGACGGCTGCAAACATATCTGCCTTAAAATAATTCACTAGCCTATGCACTTGTTTATGTGATCTTCCATTTGTATATTAACCATAAAAAAATTATATGAAATGTCTGTATACATATGCATTTATAAGTTATATATGTTTATATGATTTTTATATTTGTTATATTTAATCATAGCCCAAGATTTTTTATGATCTCCACATATCCCAAATCTGAATACCAAGCCAATATCTTCAGC